TTTTTTTTTCACTCGTTAATTAGATGAACTTTATCTCATTTATCAAAGAACTCTGAATGCTCATCGTTTACGAGTGGCGTGACGAAAAAGAAATAATATTTCTGAATCTTTTTTCATTTAAAACCCAAAGTATACAATTTTATTTATGTAAAATCGAATGAATTTCGTATTCACCAACGTTGAAAATATATTTATCGATATATGATAATTTACACGATATTATAACATAGTCAATAAATATTGGTGAAGTATTGATATATTTTCTTTTTCATAATCATTCATCAATAGTGAATCAATATTATTGAGTTTATCTATCTAGTAAGGACATACAAAACGGTAAAACAAAGCCTATTTGAATATAAATAAGCTCACAAGATCTATTAAAATTTCAAAGATTAATTCTCTCTCAAACAGCCATTTTGATATGGTTCTGATAAACTGTAAAGTAACTCGGTTTATTTCGAACCGCTGGATATTAACGTGTCATTAGTCAATGAACATTTTTTGTGACGGAATCACAAAGAAATCTTTTAGTTTGGATATAGAAAATGTTCATTTACCAAAAAATGTTTTTTTCTATGTATTTTACATAGACTGTTCTTATTAGGAACATTTTTTTGCTGATTGTTCGTATTAGGAACAGTGTTCCTAATAAGAACAGGCGATGAATTTTTAAAAGTGTAATAACTAAGTTATTACAAATTGAAAAAATCTGAACCTTTGGATTTAATGGTATCAATTGATGAAGAACATTTTTTGTTCCAGAAGTATATCGAAATTTTTTATTCTAAGAATAAAAAAGTCGCTTTATTAAAAATATTTAAATTTCTATGTATTTTACATAGAGTGTTCTTATTAGGAACACTTTTTTTGCTTGCTGTTCTTATTAGGAACAGTGTACCTAATAAGAACAAATTCAATTATTCGCAAACTACCGCTAATTACTTAATTAGTTTACGAGATAATTAGATGATTTTTACATCATTCGATGCAGCAGACATTTCTGCACTCAGATATGTAAAAAAAATTTTTTTACCACGAGAAATGACTTAGTAGCAAAGGAATTACTCCGACCTCCAAAAAATCTGTTCTTATTAGGAACATTGACTGTACGACAGATGAGCATGGAGCACCCATCAATATAGAGGTGCTTGCAGGGCTCTTTGCAACGTTTCTCATTATAAGTGTAGTGGCCATCGTGATGCACGTCATGCATCGATATCGACAAAAATAAGTGCTACAAGAGTGATTTTGACCAATTTTAAATAACATGAATTGGTTGGAATCGGAACTAGTTGGAACTTTTTTCGATTAAAATGTAAAAAGCTACTCAGTGTTATTTTTGTTTTTCCTATTAAAAAGTTGAATGTGGGTATGGATGGATGTTCTCTTAATCAATCCTCACACCCACACTCGCGAATATCATATCTCAGTATCTAGTTGTGTTCGCGATTTATTCGAAAATCGAGAAAGTGAGAAAACACATTTTGAATTTCGAGCGTTGCCACTTCCACGATTGAAGAAATGTTTATAGAATGAAATAAAATCTGGTATAATGAATAAAAAATAATAGTTTGAGCAAATACATGCTTCATGTAATATTTTTGAAGTGAACAAGAGGAACTAACTTACACTTATGATTCTCAAAACTTATTAATAATATTAACCAACTTGGGAGTCTGTTTAGGAAGAGATCAAATTGTTTGTTCTAGAACAAAAAAGAAGAAATATAGGAATTCCATCTTTCATAAGTTTATTTTATGAGATATTATATGTTTTGACTTGTAGGGAAATGACAAATTGAATTTCGTTTTGTAAGAAAATTATTTATGTTCGAAACAAATTTTGCAACCAGGAAAAAACACTTTTCTTCAGTGATGAAAATTAAGATTAGGATATTTAATTATTTCATAGACTAGTTCTTTACTATCTGGTATCCAAAAATCAGTGTGGTTTCAAGAGCTTCAAAATTATGAAGAATTCAAAAGCTAATAATTCATTATGATTACCTTTTAATCAAGAATGTGCATTATATGTTTAAAAATGGTACTAAATCCAGATCATATTTTTATTAATATCTTCAGAGTACCTAGAAATGTTTACTGAAAAGAAAACCCTGCAGCAACACCAATGAATAAAAATATAGCATCATCCGAAAATCTGTTTTTGAACAAATTTCATGCAATATAACTTAAACTAAACAAATGAAAATTTGTTTTCGATAGGTTTGCTCTTTCCGAGTAGTCAAAACCTGTTCGAGGACTCGAACATGAATGATCTGTGAATAGATAGAATGTGGGTATTGTTGAAGAAAAGATCATACCCACACCCTATTGTGTTTTTTTTAACACAGGATATTAGATGATGAAAAAATGAATCAGAAAAAGGAATAGAGAAGTCTATTACGCGCTACAATAATATAAATTATAATGTTCTTTTTTTCTTGTTTTATGTTATCGAATATAAACATTTCAATTTTACAAATATGTATTTTAATGCTTAGCTGGTATTCTATAAGTTCATTAGCAAATATAATTGGTAAACGTCTTTTAACTATATTTCCACATCCATTTAGTGTTACACTTGTTCAACTTTTTCATGGATGGGTTTATTCTGTACCATTACTTCGTTTCATTGGTATACCACAATCAACTAACTTACACTCAACACGTATTTATTATATAACTATTTTGATTCCTTTAGCAATAGGAAAATTACTTTCACAATTAACTTCACAAATAAGTTTACGATTAGTAACAGTTTCATATACCCATACAGTTAAAGCATTAATGCCATTATTTACAGTTATATTCTCGCGAATTATACTTCGTGAAGAACAATCGATAACGGTTAGTCAAAAAAAAAACGAAGGATGATTACTCCCCACTCGTCTTGGCCATATATCTGTCAAATGACCGTGTCATTACCATGTCAGCTGTTAAATTATTGATAGAATTTTTTTTCTAGAAAAGAATATACATCAAACACTGAAAATTAAGAAAAGAGATTTGATAGTTGACAGACTCGTTCGTTTTGTTACTTAATTTTGATACGTGTCTGTTAAATCTAAATTTATGCATATTTAATTGCAAAAAGGATAAACATTAAAGCGAACAACATGGAAGTATTTATGTATATAAAATGAAATCCAATTTTTCAAGACATATTAAGGCGACAAAAATATGAGAAAAAAAAATTCTCCAATAATCGTTGGATGTGGTTTTGAATTTATGGATTCTAGAAATCACGAACAAGATTCTGACAGATCTTCATTGTTCTTATTGTTTTATTCGATACACTTACCAATTAGAGTCCTGGAAACAGCTTCGAATCCCGAGAAATTTCATTTGTTCTGTCTTGCGGGAAATATGGAAAATAAAATGGGATCTTTCGGAATCCGAAAAGAAGTTTATTTCACAGGACTCAATTATTTATAAGTCGTTCTAGCACAGTATTGATTTCTGTGATAATGCATTCCTCCAAACCTTATGATCGTCTGTTTCTACTATGTTCTTGCCTGATTTCTGTAAAATATCATAAAACAATACTATATATTTTTACGTGATAAAAATAAGAACAATTTCGGAGAAAAGATTGATTTTGCTGTTCTAATTGATGATTCCTTCAAAACATTCAAATGTAAAAAAACAAGAATCTTCAATACTCATTTTAGATTTATCTTTCACTATTACCTATTATTACTGGTGTTATTATAGCTTCCATAAGTGAATTATCATTTAATGTTATTGGCTTAGTCAGTGCATTACTCAGTACATTTTTACTTGCTCTTCAAAATATTTATTCCAAAAAAACACTTAAATATATTAATATACATCATTTAGCACTTTTATCTGTTCTCTCAAAATTATCCTGGTGTCTTCTTATACCATTTTGGTTTTTACTTGATGGATCACATATTGATATTAGACGAGAAGTAAGATGATGGGAAAAAGTTTAACAACAACAAATTTTGGATTTTTTTCTATAAGATTAAGCTCATAGCTCAAATCAGCCTTGTGTACTTCAGTTGTATTCACATCTACCGCAAAAGATCGGCCTATAGTGATATTAGACGGCTGTTCGCACATTTAAGATCCGTAAACCTACGAAAAAAATTACAGTCTATAAAAATTATAAAAAATCTAATTGCCATGGTTAAATATTGAGGTATTCATAAAGCAAACTGAAGAAGAAGAATACTCCACCTTTCGGCTATCTTATAGTACAGGATGATGTTCAGAGACAGTTTTGCAAGCCCGATATTTTTCCTACAACTATTACTAGATGCAGCTCTGGACAGAATATCAGTCTGACTCAGAGTTCTTCCGCTCAATAACTTGACCTCCTCGCACACTCTGAGTAACGACATACAAGTCACAAAAGTAGATGTATGCTATCGTACGCATGATCCGAGACAAACAACCGTTAGTGATTACTCCAAGGTCATTCCATGTCTCATGGCGCAACACATTAGCTTAGACCATCATTGTCATAAGATATTTATTATTTTCTTATAAATTATTATAGTTAACACCAACAGTTATATATTTTATATTAATTGATGGTTTATGCAATTTTATTTATAATGTTCTTGCATTTACCATGATTTCATATCTTTCACCACTTACGTATGCTATAGCAGGAAGTACAAAGCGTATTGTTGTTATTATTCTGTCTATTATTATTCTTCATAATCCTGTAACATATATGAATTTATTTGGTATTAGTTTAGCTTTAATTGGTGTTATTTTATACAATAAAGTAAAATTTAATGAAAAAAAACAACAATTATTATTATTAAATAAGATGTCAATACAACCGATATTACAATCACCATTACCATAAAAATCAACAAAAACAAAAAAAAAAACATTATATAAATCATTCTTGTTGTTGCCAACGATCATTCCATGTTCGTTTTCGTGCTGATGACGAACGATGACTAGCTGATACAGGACGAGAGCGTACACTGTTATTATTAGTATTATTTAATGAATTTGTAGCAGATGATGGTCGACTTTGTGAACGATGAGAACTTTCAGATATAGAAAAAGTAGACGATATATTAGTTGTACTTGACGGTCGTTTGGGCTGATGATAACGTGGTTCCATTGGATATGTATTAACACCCATAAGACGATCATAATTAAATAATAATTCATCTCGTTTTAAACTACGAGTTGGACGAATATTTTGAAGACGTTCTAAGATTTTCTACGAAAAGAAAAAAACAAAATTTTGTTTTTTAATGTTTTCAAAAATTTTATTTTAAATAAATTTACTAAATTTTCACGTTCAATTCTTTGTTGTTGTTGTTGACGATTAATTGCTGATGAAGTTAAACGAATTCGTTGATGATGATCTTTTGTACAATTATGAATATATGGTTGTTGAGAATAATTATCAGTTAGAATTTGCATATCTCTTTTATTTAATTGTTGTTGATCTGAATATGAAGGTGAAGGTAGACCACTTGTAGGAGCTGATAAACCAAATAGAACATTTTTCATTGCTTCAAGATGAAATGGATGTTGTTGTTCATTTATTGACGATACATCAGTAATATCATGCTCAGAAGTATCTGAAGAATTTGAACTTTGCGTTTGTTGACGATAAATTGGTGGTTTTGAAGTTACTATTTGAATATTTGAGATTAATGCTGGTGGTGATATAGTACTATCATTATCATCATAAAAAGAATCTGATAGTTGTGGTAATGTTTCATTTGTTTGGTCAACCATCTAAACAAAAAGGAAATATTCTAATCATTTATTGTTGTATTAAGTAAAACATGATAGGTATGTGTTATATAAATAATTAATCAAAACAGTTATATACACACCTAGAGTTGTACTCGCCTTCAAATGTTTATATTTCTATTCGTTCTGCTTGAATGATTCTTTTTTCTCCTGTTTCTTGTATTTCATGACAAGTATATGTTCTCTGTCTCTCTGTTTCTGTCTCTTCTTTTTTTTTTTTTGTCACTGTATGCGTCAAACAAATGATTAATTGATGTATTTATTTGTGTGAGAAAGGAGGTCATTTTAAAAAGAAATAGTTATGGGTGTTGGAAGTTCTCAAGAATCACAATCCTCATCTAGACATAGCTCTACAAGTGGAAGAAGACTTAGAAGATTTTTCTTTCGTCGAAATAAACCAATTCCAACAACACAACTTAGTTCACCTGGTATTACACAACCGACTTCTTATCAACATTTCTATGGTACTCGTCCTAGTTCAAGACCAATACCTATTTATCCACCATTAGAACAACCATCACCATCATTTTTACCAATATCTTACAATAATTTTCAATTTCCTTCATACATACCACCTCAACCTATGATGATGCCACCCCCACCGCCACCACGAGTAGCACCATTCATGTCTCCATCATATATGATTCCTGCTCCTCCTCCTTTTCTTCCTCCGATGTCGACACCATACATGCAACAACCACAAGTACAACCTATCTACAATAATATGGCCGCTCCAGTTTCCATGCCAGTGGGTAATTCTGGAGGAGCTTTACTTAATCCTCCATCATATCCAGGAGCACCTTCGAGACTTATTACGGATTGGACAGGTGGTGGAGCAATATCGCCTGGTTTTCTTGGGCCTCCTATTTAAATAATTTAAAAAGCTTTTTTGTTTATGTAATTTTTTTAATAGCATAATATGTATTACATTCATATGCCTACTTAATTATATTTTGATTTTTTTGTATTTGTTCGACTATCTTCTCCTCCAACGGTTATCACCAACATCATCGTCTTCATAGCGAACATTAGCAAGATGTCTATAAGATATGTGCGATATGTTCATTATTTACACCACATTACATGGATACTAAACGAATGTAATAGTTTTCGTTTATGATTGGTGATTTTGTATATTGATAATTTAATATAATAGACGGTGTCCAATATGAAATGGCGATTACCAATGAGGAGAAGAGAGCAACCAAAGAAAAAAGAAAACTCTAATGTGTATGTCTATAAGTTTGTTTTTTTTTTTTCTTTTTTAGATCGATATCTGTTTGTTTTTATATGTTAATTATTCATATAAAATAAAAAGATGATAGAATAGATAAAAATAATGAAATCAAGAAATTGTGTCTTATCTGATTTAGATTTTGTGATATAATATTTGAAGACCAAGGGATTAGATCAATGAATTTAAATGATCATAATTGAATCATTTATTAATCAAAGTTGAAGTTTTTTTTTTTTCGTCTTAATATACAGGGTGTCTCATAATTATAAGACCCCCCACTAAATTTCCATAAAAGTAAAGATTAATTCAACTAAAGAAAGTTTCATTTCTAATCTTATGTCACACCTATAGACATCTAGTAGTAC